GCGCCGGCGCCGCGCAGCGGGCGGGCAAGGAGTAGGAGCGCGGCCGCCCGCCGGACCACAGGAGGCCGAGGCTGTGTGCATAGTTTCTTTATTTTGTGTAAAAAAACTCACCAAAAACAAAAAACAAATGTTTATTTTCTATGTTCCTTTACCCTTGTATAAATTATTCGACAACTGTCAGGCGGAAGACAGCGGAGTTCTCTCGGGTAGTGGCTATTTTTGTAACGTTGCCGTGTGTCGCACCTGCTATGTGGCCAGAGAGAGCAAGGGTGTCTGTGTCCTCAGCAAACCGTATAGCGTTTGTTGCCAGAGGTGGTGTGCTGTTTACAGAATCTTCCTTTATTCCTCACTTGGGGTTCTCAGTGGCTCCAGGCCAAAGAGCCAGTGGGACCCGTGGCTGTCGGTGGGACCACCCGTGGCTGACAGTGTGGCCGAGGCTGTCAGTGGACCCATGGCTCTCGGTGGGACCTAGGATGTTTGGCGTGGCCTGTGGCGGTCAGTGGCACCTGTGGTTGCAGTGGGGCTTGAGGTCATCGGTGGGGCCCGTGGTGGTCGGCGTGGCCTGAGGCCCGTGGGCAGACCCTCGCTGGCCCCGGCCCGTCCCCTCCAGTCTGCCGTGCTCGCTTGCTCCTGCCCGGAATGCTCGCTCCAGAGGTCTCTCAGCTGTGCTTTCAGAAGTGCCCTTCCCGACTGCTCTGTTCCCCTGGGACGGTGGCAGTATTGAAGCTCGCGACAAGTGCCTTCACACAGACTCCCCCCTCGCAACTGTCAACGTTTGCCGTGGGCACCAGGCCACTGCCCACCTGCCGGCCCCGGCCACCCCTCCTCGTCAAAGTGCATTTTTGTAAATATGTACATATTAAATGAATCACTCTGTATATTGGATTTAGTAACTTAAACGTTTTGGCCTCCCTTGTCCTTTGGGTGCTGTCCCTTTGTTACTTAGAGCTGGGCCAGGCGCAGGGAGGCTGGAGGGTGGATTGCATGTGTGCGGCGGGATGGTCCTGCGACCTGGGGCCCCCTTGGGCCACGGACACGTTGGTGTCTGTGACAGACGCTTTCCTGGAAATGAGGCGAGGGGAGGGGCTTTGCACCCACCCCAGTGGACGCAACTTCAGAGAGCTTCATAACGTCAAGTTGCTTAGCTGCGGGGAGCTGTCCAGGTTTGAAGGAATCAGCAGGTCAAAACTCAAGAGAACGGAGACCCTAGGCCAGGAGTGGCTCTTGCATCTGGCTGGTTGGGCAAACGGCTCAGCTTGGCTGTTGGGGGCAGCCATCGAAGGCCGGCTCTGACGTCTGTCCATTTGGGCACAAGTCACCCAGAGGGGCAGATGGTCGCTAAGTGCTGTTTGGCCCAGCCTCATGCTGCCACCTGGGTGGCCAGCCAGACCAGTCCAAAGCTTCAAGCTTCCTTTCAAGCCGTGTTGACCTGACTTGGGCCTCTAGGTGCCCGTGAGGAACAAACGCCAATGGCCTTTGTCTGTGAGCTTTCTGCGCTCTGTAAGTGGTTTTCCAACGTCAGTGAGCAGACCACAGTCCAGACCCTGGCGCACGGGGAAGCTGGCACCTGAAGCAAGCGACACTCGCCCCGCTTTGTGTGCCTGTCGGACACCTGGACCCAGAGGACGAGGCGTGTTTGCTGGCCATGCTCACACCAGCAGGGCGGGCAGTCCCAACGGGCTGGATGGGAGCCTGAAGATAACCTAGCAGGCTTGAACTTCTAGAAACGACAAAGTGCCACCCCCAAACTAAAACCTAGACAGCCACTCCAAGTCACGGCCGGAGAAGGAGTTAGTGAAGAAGAGGTTGCAAGAAAACGAGCCAGGTGCAGCCCAGTGACAAAAGGTGGGCACCGTGTGAGCGGCCCGTGCGGCTCGTCGGGCACTGCCCAGCGGGCCACCCCCAGGCGAGGGGCCGTCAGGTGTGGAGTGGGCAGGGACGGGGCAGGCACAGGTGGGGCTGCGTGACTGCTGTCCTCGGGACTCATGCTGCGGGTGATGCCAGCGGGTCCCCCACCCACTAGGCAAGCCCCCTGTTACCTCAAGGGGGGCGGGTCCTGGCTGGGGTCTGGGGGGCTAGTGGCACCTTGTCTGCTTGGGGAAGGGCCTGCTGTCACAGGCGGGAGCGGGTGGCACCCCTAGGCCATCTATACCCGCCACACCCCCTGTGCACATGCACGTGCAGCCTGGCCATCCCCCCAGGGCTGCCCCCCGGCGTCCTGAGCCCACCCAGCTTCTGGCCTTCCTTCCCCGACTCTGGCCCAGCCTGGGTAACCCGGTGCCTGGCAGGGGTGGGAACAGGGCTGTCCGTGTGCCTCTCCGGGGACTGGATGTCCTGCGCTCCAGCCCAACGCGTGCATCACTGCTGACTGGTGGGGCCCCTTCTTCCAGCGCCGCCCCCTGCTCCTGGAAGGCCATGAAGTGTGGCCGGGACTGTGTGCCCGTGGCCCCCAGGGCCACCTCTGTCCCCAGAGCACCACTTGTCCCTTGGGCCCTTGGCTTCACTTCGTCTCCCCATCCTGAGGGCCAACCCCCACAGCAAGGGTTAGGCCCCTCTGTCCCCCACCAGCACCTTGTCCTCTCCTGGGTGGGCAGTGAGCCCCCAGAGGGGCAGCTGCTCCGTTAGGGGGTTCAGACAAAGGATGACACAAGGTGCTCTTGCTGTGGCTACCCCGTCACCCCAAGGCTGGTGCTGGGCTCCCGAGTCTGCCCGGGAACTGTCCGTGACCTTAAATCGAGGCTCTTCCGTTTGCCTGCGTTGACGAGGCAGCATTGCACTGTGGCCAGATGGGAGTGGACATGAAGTCCAGGCACTGTGAAGGCTCCCCAGTCCCCTCTGCAGCCTCCTTCCACAAGCCCACCTCACTCTGCACAGCTGGGGGCCTCCTCTCCTGCTGCCCCTGGCTCTTACGTATCCCGGGTGAAGGCCCTGCGGGAGCCGGATGGGAGAGGCTGGGACTCAGCCTGCAGGGGCTGGGGGTGCCCCTTCACTGTCCCTGGGGTGCCTGAGTCACCCTGGAGCCTGGTGGGCAGTGGGCTCTGGGGGCAGCACGAGACTCCGCGGTGGGGCTTGGGGGCTGGGGTCCCTGAGAGGACAGTCGGGCCAGGGCCTTTGGACTTGCTCCCAGCTGGGGTCTGGGGGTGCTGAGTGGGCCCAGCAGGAGCTCCGTGACCCCTCATTTGCATCTATGACCCTGGCGCTGGGCAGTTGAGAGACGGTGTTGGGATCAGCGCAGCCATCAAGAGGGAGGTGGGCTTCAGGTGCCCAGGGAGTGGGGGGTGCACGCGCGGGTCCAGCACAGAGACGGGTTGGGGGCAAGGCAGCTCAGCAGATGGCGACCTGAGGGCTCGGCCGGGGGAGAGGTGAGACTGGGTGGAGGTCTGAGGCCCCGGGCGGCTGCCTGGCCAGGCTGCGCTGGGGGCAGGGAGACAGGGGCAGCTCCGGGCAGTGGGCACTCTCTCCACCGCAGGGGGACTCCGGGCTTCGGGCTGGGGTCAGATGGCCCCCCACCTCCTCTTATTCCTTCATGGCCAGAGCAAGGAGCGGGGCTGTTCCCAGCCCAGTCAGGACCAAGGGGCGTGTCCTGGCCCAGTGTCCTGACGGGCAGGAGCAATGCCATCCACACTCACCACCCGCTGCTCCCTCGCTGCTGGGCCCCCAGGACTGCACCAGCTGGCTCTGCTTGGCTACTGCCGAGTCTCCGAAGAAACCGTGCCCCTGGGAGCAGGGAGGAGATTCCACACGTGTCCCCAGGGCGGCCGGGCTGTTAACCCCTGCAGACCAGGCTGTGGAGGGGCGTGTGGGCTGCATGGTGGCCTGGCTCCAGCCATCCCCGAACAGGACACAGCCTGGCTTGCCCCTCCCTCATCAGACCCCCAGGCCTAGGAAGCTGTTTTGGCGGGGACCTGGAAGGGTCTCCAAGTGAGAGCATCAGGGTGCCAGGGGCTGGGCGACCACCCTGCAGAAGGGAAAGTGAAGCCCATGAGGGAGGGGCCTGGCCTGCGACGGACTGTGCCCTCCCCGGCCCTGGCCGATTCTGGAAGCCCGCCACAGAGCCACGGAGGGTTTGCCAGGGCCCAGAAGACACTCCTCCAGGCCCAGGGCCAGCCTCGAGGCCAGGCGGCAGCTGGAGGGTGCCTGAACACAAACACTGCCAAGGATGGGCTGGAAGGGGGCTCTGAGCAGGGGTGGGTGTGTGGGGACGTCCCCCACCTCGGGCCGGGGTTGGGGTGTGCTGGGACCCCCTGGTCCCCGGGCGCCTAAGTGTCCCCCTCTGCCCCCCAACCCTCTGTACCTGCTTATGGGAGAAAAACAGCACGAGGCCCAGGGACAGCCACACCCCTAGCCCAGCAATCCCTGCCTCCCTTCCGCCGGGCTCCCATGGGGCTGGGGGCTGCGGCTCCCTCAGCCCCATCCCTGGGTAGGGCTGCTGTGCCTTCCATCCCCACAGCTCCCCAGCCCCAGGGTCCCTGGAACCAGGCAGACCCGAAAATCACCCTCAGGGGGCTCGGTGTCCAGAGAGAGGCCCAGTCAGAACCCCCAGCACCTGTCCCATGAGACAAGGGCTGATGGAGACACGGGCCACAGAGCTAACTGTCAGAGAGAGAGAGAGAGAGCACGCGTCACAGGAGAACAAAGGGCAGACCGAAACGGCTCTGGAGCTAAAACAGGACATCCCAGCAAGCAAGTCAGCTGCGAAATTGAAGGAACAGGTGGTCAGTGTGGAGACCCAAGCCAGGGCCCCGCAGATCACAAGCGAAAAGATGAAATCCTTGGGGTAGAGAACTCAGGGGTGCTAACATGAGTAACAGGGGCTCTGTCCAGAAGGAGAGTGAGGCGCAGGTGGGAGAAGCAGGGACTTAAAGGGAAAGAACCATTTCTGAGCTAAATGCAGGCCCAGCCGGCCTACAGAGGGGCCCCTGGGTCCCGGCTGAGCGCAGAAGCACATGGATGGGGACTGCAGACGCTCTGGAACTCTCG